TGGTGAAGGCCACAGGCTGAGGAGATCACAGGAAGATTGAACATGGAGCTGAGTCAGAGCCCATGCTGAAAGGCAACCCGAAGGAACCTGTGATGAGCCCTCATATTCACTAATGGAGGAAGAGGGGAGGCCTACCCTTTCTCTTAGACAAACCATGTAATATTAGCTTAGTCTTCTCTGTACTATATATAAAGTTATATAAAGAATAAAAAATAAAATGGAGACTTGTAGAATCAAAAGAGAGTACAATCATTTCAAGCAGGTCACTGAAATTCCAGTGTATGAGTCAGAAGATACTGCTTTATCACAACCATTGTCAATGTGTGAAGAGTTAATAAAAGTATCATAAAAATGAAAAAAAAAGGGTATTTTGAGAGAGATTTTGAAACTTGAATTAAATGGTAATAAAATAAAATAAAAACTGTAACATTTACAGGTAATTTTCCACATGGTTGAATTTGGAATAGTTTGAAAGCTGCAGAAAAAAAAAATGTATAAGAAATGCCAAATCATGAGACCTTTAAAGCAATGTGCAAAAGAAATATAAAATAGGAGAAGGGCATAAATAGTTGAACAAGCATATGTGTGATAAGGCAAGGCTCATTTTTGGAGGAGGAAGCCCCAGGCTTCATGTGCCTTGGAAAAGTTTATCCTCTAGGCCAGCCCCCATCCTGGCACAGCCACTCCTCTGCCTTTGCTGAATTGGGTTGTTCCCTATTTCCTTGCATGGCATTGTCCATTGATCACGAAGTTACCACCTGGAATTCTCTCCTTTATGTACACTTATTTTCTGGGAGTACTGTGGGGTGAGTTGTGGCAGAGGGGTTGGCTTGTGTCCCCCCAGCTTTGTGGAGTATTCATGTGTTTGGAGCCACAGAGATCTATTTGGAGAGCTACAGAAGTACAGACACACACCCTGGTTTTCCTATGGACTTGATGCACAACACTGAGCAGGTGAATTCAATCTTTTTGTCTAAGTTTCCCTGATTTTTTTTTATATAAAAGTGATTGCATCTATAATTGTGAGCAGTAGAGTCAATTATCCTGATACCTGGACTTTATCTCCAGTAAGTGAAACAAAAATATCTGGGGGGTACTCTCAAGAATTGGATTTATTAAGCTTGCAGGGAGGTTCCTAGATGTTATGACTAGTATAAGATAAATGTTAATGGACCAAGGTCTTGAGTACAAATCATACATTTTTATTCTGGCTTTTACATATTTATAGAGGCTTGAATAGTTTTTTTTTCCCTTTGGTACTTGGGATTGAACTCAGGGGCACATAACCACTGAGTCATATCCCCAGTATTTTTATTTATAGACAGTGTCTCACTGAGTTGCTTAGCACCTCAATTTTTCTGAGGTTGGCTTTGAACTCACAATCTTTCTGCCTTAGGATCCTAATCTGCTGGAATGGCAGAAATGTGCCACCTCACTTAGCTTGAATAGATCTTTAATTTCTCTCCTATTTATTTATCTTTAAGATGGGGCTAATGCCACTTGCTTCCCAAGAGTATAGTGAGAATTAAATGAAGTTATAGATAGTTAGCACTTAGTGCCTAGTGAGTGCTCCATAAGCCAGGGGGATGACAGACCTTTGTGTTTTTGCTTTGTGTGCTCCCAGCTTTAGCTTTTTTGGCAAAGCCTTGAAAACTTAGCAAAACCTTGTTTAAAAAAATACAAAAATAGGACTGGTGATGGCGATGTTGCTCAATGGTGAAGCATGCTGAATTTCAGTTACTGGTACCAAAAATGTCATTTAATTTAGGACATTGTAATTATTTTATTAGTATGTTCATTTGTGACCTCTACATATATGGGCATGACATCATTGACCCTCATTTCTCAGGGCCTGAATCATCTCTCTTATTATCTCTTCTATCAGTATAAACTCAATTATTCTTCCTCTAATTTTTTTTTAGATTCACTTCTTTTTTTAACTCCATTTTTGTTTTACCTTTCTCATATGAAAGAAAACACTTGACAATTGACTTTCTGCATCTGATTTATTTCATTTAATTTGATGTTCTCCAGGTTCATTAATTTCCCACAATTGATATAATTTCATTCTTGTTTATGGATGAGTAGAATGAGTAAACTTGTAAAAATATGTGTAGATGCTATTTTCTGGGCATGTCACCTGCAAGCACACAGGACCTTCAGTGTCCAAGCTCAGCCTGCCATTGTGTGAGCCAGGGAATGAAGATGCAGGAAGCAAAAGGTCTCATGTGAACCATTTGAGGTCTTCCAATCTGTGGCTCTGACTGCTTGTACATTTACCAAACCGCCTGGTAACATCCAGAGTGTCCTTTATTGTCTGCATTGATGACTAACCTGTCTCAGTGGTCTGTTTTCAGTACAGTTTTGTTCTCAAGAGAAGAGAGTCAATATGAAGGTAAAATCTCTTGATTCTCCAGGTTTCAGATGTAGGATTTGGCTCTTCCCTCAATTCTTTCCTTTTTGTCCATTCATGAAACTGCCTTTATCAACTTTACATTAGTCCTCTCCTCATGTGGCACCTTTGTATTCATACTGGCCCTGAGCTCTAGTTGGGGGCATGAAATCTAGAGTCAAAGCAGACCTGGGCCCACTGGCCCTGTGAACTTAATTATTTTATTCATTTGTTTACTTTTTACTTTTCAAGGAGTCATGTTTCCCATGTTGTGAAGTGGGATTGAAAGCTAGTTATGGTGACATGTAATGATATCAGGAGCCATTGATGACCATGTACTGGACTATTGTTTTTGAGAATTTTATCCCTGACCTCTTCACTGGCAATAAGAACTCCATGAGAAGAAGCCATGTTTACATCCATCTTGCAGGTCAGGAATGCTCAGCTGTGTCGAGTTAACTTGCTAAAAGTCACACAGCTAGCACATGGCAGCTTCATTGTTGCTGTGGGAACAGAGGGAAAAAATGCACAGATGAGCATGATAAAGTGTTGGCACATAATGATCAGGTCATAGAGCAGGAAAATGAAGTACAGGTCCAGTGGAAGGCCTGGCTTTAACCAATATACAGGCAGGGCCCCTGAGGAGGTGAGAGCAGAGTCCAGAGTACAGGGTAGAAGGAGGCTTCACTCCTATCTTAAAGAGGTCAGAGAGTAGCCCACAGGAGGCCTGGGCCTGCCTTGCAGGGATGGGGCCTAGAGGGTGGTTCCCAAGTTTGACATGAAAAAATGCAGAATGTGAGGATTGGGCTTGGTGGAAAGCCCCAAGTTCCTTGCTGTAGTATGTGCATGTACATAGGCACATACATGGAGGGATGCCCAGAGAGTTGATAACCTGTGTAAAGTTAAAAAGAAGTATTCATATTGAAGGAACAATTGAAAAGACAGAATTATCATTTAACTACATTCTAGTCTATTTGAACTGCTCTAAGGGAGTACTAGAATCATATACCTTAAAAGCAAAAAATAATAATAATAATAATAATTTGTGCACTTCTGAAAGTTCAGATGTCCAAGATCAAATTACCAAAAGGTTTATTGACTATTGAGAAACTGCTTTTTTATAAACAGCTCTAATTTGAAGGTTTGTGTCCCCTTGAGTACCTTGGTTGAACTCCTCTCCATTAAGATGATGGTATTAGAACGTGAGTCTTTGGGGAGTTGTTGAGGTCCTGAGGCTGAAGACTTCATCAGTGGAATTAATGCTCTAATAAACAGTGCTACAGGCTCACTGCCTTCTTCCACCATATGATGACACAGCCAGAAGCTTCTACCTATTAGAAATGTTTTTTCCAAGCATTGAATTGCCTTGTGCCTTGACCTTACACATTGTAAAAATGAGTGTCTGTGGCTTATAAACCACCCAGTCTACCATAAATCATTATAGCAGCTTGATGAGAGTAAGGGAGTACACCATCTCTGTCCTCACAGGATAAATTGAGAAGTTTCTTTTCAGCTCTCTTTTAATAAATGACAATAATCCTCTCCCATGACTTAATAACCTGCAGGACCCCACCTTTGTCTGCCTAGGCTCATGATAAACTATCACAACATTAAAATACATACTCACACAGGGTCTAGGACTGGTCATTTTTTCCCAAGTCTCTATGGCCAAGCTTCTGAAACCTGGACCTGAAAGTAACTTTCAAAGAATTCTTCAGTGTATGTTAATTGTCATATCTATGTATTCACCAGGCTGCTCACACTATATAAGAAGTGGCCCCTGCTCATGTAAACTCCCGTCTAATTGAGAAAGCATAAAACCCATGTTGTCCCTTGCTTGCTGACAATAAACTTTGCATGTGTATTCTGTGATCTTTTATTGCCAATCACTGATCTGTTAATGTTACATCACAGAAAGCACTGCTACTTTAGGTAAACATTTTGTTCATATTGGAGAAAAGATCCTAGAAATCATGCAAGCTTAAGAAATT